TAAATGGTGATATTCTTTTCTTTCTTTCCTTCTTTCTCGCTTTTTTCCACAGCAAACATGACAACAACTCACTCACCACGCCCCTTCTCCTCCCACAGCTTGATATGACACCTGTGGGTAAGGATGAAGGGCTGTTTGTTGCTGGGTGGGGTTGGTGGGGTGGGGGGGTGTGTTAGGAGAAGGTAAATGAGGGGAAATTTGTTGCTGGGTGGGGTTGGTGGGGGGGGTGTGTTAGGAGAAGGTAAATGAGGAAATTTGTTGCTGGGGTTGGTGGGGGGTGTTAGGAGAAGGTAAATGAGGGAAATTTGACGAAAAGTAGGGGAGTAAAGGTATCCGGGATCAACCAGATATGCTGTATTTTAAAGTTCTTTGTTGATCTTTCGTACTATACTAATTTAAGTTCTAGCTCTCAGGCCTTTGACTTCTCTCTAGATCAAGTTTTGTTCCGTACAGTAAGTAGTATTTCACTATTTCCTTCCCCACAACACTTGGATCTCTAGAGGCGTGTGTCTTATTCCGTGTCTGTAAGGGGAAAGGGGGTATGTAAAAGGGGAAAGGTGGGGTATGGAAGGGAAAGGGGGGGTATGGAAGGAAAGGGTATGTAGGGAAAGGTGGGGTATGGGGAAAGAAGGTGGGGTATGGAAGGGGAAAGGGGGTATGGAAGGGAAAGGTGGGGTATGTGGGGAAAGGGGGTATGGGGGAAAGGTGGGGTATGTGGGGGTATGGTGGGGAAAGGTGGGGTATGTAAGGGGAAAGGGGGGGAAGGGGAAAGGGGTATGTAAGGAAAGGGGATGTAAGGAAAGGGGGTATGTAAGGGAAAGGGGGGTAAGGAAAGGGGGTATGTAGGGGGGAAGGGGGTAGGGGAAAGGGGGGTATGGAAAGGGGGAAAGGGGGGTAAGGAAAGGAAAGGGGGAAAGGGGGGGTAGGGGGGAAAGGGGGGTATGGAAGGGAAAGGGGTATGGGGGGTATGGAAGGGGGAGGGGGGGTATGTGGGGAAAGGGGGAAAGGGGGTATGGAAGGGGAAAGGGGGTATGGAAGGAAAAGGAAAAGGAAGGGGGTAAAGGAAAGGGGGGTATGGGGGGGTATGGAAGGGGAAAGGGGGGTATGGAAGGGAGTGAGGAGGAATGTGGTAAAAAGGGCAGGATGAGGGTGAAGGGAGAAGAATGATGGAAAGAAAGATGGATGAGGGATTAAAAAGGGGGAGTGGGGAGACTGACAGATAGATTGACAGGAACACAGAGAGAGAGAGAGAGAGAGAGAGAGAGAGAGAGAGAGAGATTAATAAAGAAGCGATACACCTTTACATTACAGGTGTGCAATATCCGCTGCCTTGGTAATGTTAGGACAAGTGTCAACGCCCTCTGACCTACCTGGGTTCAAAGTCCCCAAGATGCGTTCGTCAATTTTTCCTTCAACTGGACATAAACCGTCATGAAATGTTGTGGCTTTCTGATAAATGTTTTTGGGTTGTAGGTTTAGGGAGCCATTTAGAGGCGCCTTAACTTATGAGCTTTTGAGAATCCATCTTTGTGTGGTAGATCAAGTTAGTGAGTTAGTTGGGTGTTTACATCTAAAGCCTACCAGTCGTGGAGAGTAAGACGCTGGGAAGAACTTATCTGTACTAACACAATGACAAAGTTCCCGTCAATATCTGTCCATATATTGTGACAACAGTGTTCGAGTCACCCACAGTGAGGTTTTAACCAGACTTACCTCACCTCTCCAGCAGGACGTGGGGATGGACCTGTCTACACTGACGGAGAGTGAGAGGGGCGCCATACTGGCTGTACTGGAGAGGGATGACCACCTCAGACACGCCGACCAACAGCGGATCTAGTGAGTACCTTGTGTAGTATTGTCTGTGTATGTACTATTGAATACATACATATATGTTAATGTATGTAGGTATTTGTACAGGTATGTATTATTCACGAGGGTAAATTTACAGTACACGTACTAGTTGAGTCACCGCCTTAGCCCGGGTGAAGGGACAGGAGATAGTGCGCGACCATTCCCTGGGTCACCCGCTCCTCCTTACTACATTTCAGTTATATCTTCAAAATTGTGGAGTGTGGGGGGTCGGCTCCTGTGAGGCCGCTCGTGGGGGACAGCAGACGGTGTGTGACCATCGCCAAGGGCACCACCATCTCCTAATCAAATGTCAGCTCATAGTATCTTCAAAACTCTGGATATGCATAAAGAACACACACACACGATGTATATATATATATATATATATATATATTAGAGTGTGTGTGGATGTCTGCAAGAATGTTTACTGTTGTTTCTGCACCCCGTCTGTGTCCACCATGTGTGTGTTGGACTTCCAAGTTATATTGATCCTGAGTATGGTCGATGTATCGCCTTTCTGAAAGCGGTCGGGAAAATTCCGGAGGCATCACACAACACTTCATTAAACTGTATTCGGCGACCTGTAATGGTGTTTACTGCCAGACTGTTGTAGCATGACCTCGTGTGACCGTCTGTGACCCGTGACCTTCCTTGAACTCTCTTCCACTCGCCTATGGTCGGGGGAAAGTGAAGGAGGTCAGTCTGGTCAGAGCCACGACGCCGTCAACTTTGACCCTCTCGCCCAGGTGTGTGTGTGACCCCGTGACCCCTGGCTGAACCAAAGAGAGAGAGAGGCTACTAGCACGAGTGTGTTTCTCTCACCTCCCCGTGAAGAAGAGAAAGAGGGGAGGCAAGGAGGAGGGGCTGAAAGGGAAGAAGAGGAGAAGTGGGGAGATATATGTGGAGAAAGGGAAGAAGAAAGGAGGGAAGGAGAAGAGGTGAAGGGGATAAGAGGAGGAGGAGAGGGATAGGATGGAGGGGAAGGAGAGGGATAGGATGGAGGAGGAGGAGAGGGATAGGATGGAGGGGGAGGAGGAGGAGGAGGGGGTTGGGGGGGGGGCAATTGGTGAATCATAAGACGTGTGTCCAGTCTAGTTTATTTCGTCGGCTCTATCTATTACTGATGTTTATGTCTGTTTGTCTGTTTGTCTGTATGTATGTATGTCTGTATGTATGTATGTCTGTATGTCTTTCCTTTTTTATGATGTAACTATATGTTTGTTTGTCTGTAAGATAGATAGATACTTGTACATATCATTTACCTTGAACAGAGAAAAATACTTTAGAGAAATGTTACCCCTCTCTCTCTCTCTCTCTCTCTCTCTCTCTCTCTCTCTCTCTCTCTCTCTCTCTCTCTCTCTCTCTCTCTCTCTCTCTCTCCACCATACCATGTGTGGTCAAGAGTGGCTAGCATGAGCAGGCAGCCCCTCACCTCCCCCTTCCACCCACTCCTCCCCCTCCTCCAGTCCTCGCGCCACACACACACACCCTGCTGATGGCACTGACCTTACTGTGTGGTAGGTTTGACCTTCTTTGACCCCTGTAAAGTATTGACCGTCAATTGACCTTTGACTCGAAAAAAAATATTGACCATCTCGTAACCTTTGACCTACTTAAGTAAGGTAATGAATCACGGCCAAATGTGAACTCTGGCGAGGTAACTCCTCCTGACGGTAAGTGTGAGGGTTTACTCATAACTGTGAGCAGTGAGTGAGGGAGTGGCGGTGAGTGAAGGAGTGGTGGTGAGTGAGGGAGTGGAGGTGAGTGAGGGAGTGGCGGTGAGTGAAGGAGGACAGCGTATGAGTCAGCCCGTGAGTGAGGGAGTTGGG